AAATAAGCTGAGGAGGCCTGTTGCAAATGAGCAGAAAAATTCTATCTTAGCTTCCTAATAGGCACTGTTGAAAGGAAAAGTAGGTTACAAAGCTCTAACAAACCCAGTCATTTTTCCAGAAGACCTTGAAATCTCAGAGGTAATGCTAGCATAGATTTTAAATTAGGCATTTCAAGCAGCTTATTAGGCACTGTCTTCACCCACCACAGCAGTTCTCAAAGCTCTGTCAGCAGCAGAACCGTCAGCAGACTGTAAGCAGCAGAACCACCTGGGGTGACTGTCAGAAATGCAGATTCCTGAGCCCCACCCTGCACTCACTGAGTGAGACTTTGCAAGATGGGCCTGGTGTGCTGCACTTTAAACAAGCTCACTGATTCTTCTGTGCCTGCAAGCTGGAGAACAACTTCACCAAGATGTTAGTAGGTGACAGTGACTTCATACATTGGCCTTTCCTAACCTCCCTTGCATATTATCAGGGAACAATGTCTGAACCCAGAGGAGTTGCTAATGGAGGAGCACCAGGCCTTAGGGTCCAGGAGGGGGATATTGGAAGACTGCAGAGGCTCCCCAGCCCCCGGTGGTGGGGCAGCCAGGCTCTCTGCATGTACTTGGGTTTGGAGTGAGCTTTCTGCTGGGATCTCAGATGGCCACAGGCTACAGAGAGTGCAGGCCCATCTCAGCCCTCCATGGCAGCCCATGGGAGCCACCAGCCCACAATGGATACAGTGGTGTCAGCTTGGCTGACTACCAAGCCCAGTGTTCTGCTGTCCTTTCCCCATCCTCATCTATGATGGAGCAGGCAGAGCTCCAGGCCCAGGAACCCAGATGGCAAAAACCCAGATGAAGGAGCCATGCCATCCCTATCTCCTGGCCTGTGCCTCCCCACTCCCCAGTGCAGGCTGGGATCTGCCAGGGATCTTCCTCCGGGAGGCAACCATGCATTCTTTTTCCTCTCTCCCCACAGGTTTGGAATAAATTGCCTCATCCAGTTTGAAGACTTTGCCAATGCCAATGCCTTCCGCCTGCTCAACAAATACCGCAACAAGTACTGCATGTTCAATGATGACATCCAAGGTAGGTCTCCACCCCGTCTGACAAACCCACTGGGGACTAGCACCTTTCCACAAGGCTCACCTGGCTGCCAAAAGGGGAGTGGGGCATTACCTCATAGCTGGCTTGCCAGCAGCTGTTGAGAAGAAAGAGCATTAAACTTGGATTCACCTCCCACTTGACTAATTTTTCGCTCTGTAACCTTGCACAAGTCCCTTTACTTTGCTAAGCCTCAGTTTCCTCATCTTCAAAATGGAGATCATTGCTACTTCAGAGGTAGGTAAGAATTAGTGGTTTAATATATGCAAGAAATTCTAAACAATGCTGTCATTTACTAGCTAGTTGAATTTGCACAAATCACTTCTCTGACCATACTTTCACCATCTATTCAATGGAAATGATAATAACTGCCTTCAAATATTGTTGTGAAAATTTAAAGAGCTAGTATATGGAGAGGGCTAACTCAAAGGACTCAGCAGACCAAAACATCAATCACCATAAAA